CTAAATCCCTTTAACCCAAACTCTGCTTAATGAGAGCAGCAAAAGTTCAAATTTACAATGAAGAGCCACCAGTCTAGCTGACAGAAAACTGGATTTATGAGAGAGACCAACTGGACTGCAAGCCCAGTTACAGTTACTGTAATTGCTTTGCTCCTGAGAAAAATTTTCCTTACAAGCTGGCCACCTTAGAAATTGCTGAGCTCACTGCAAGGGCTTAGAAGGCAGCAGCAAGGAGGATATCTTCTTTCCCAAGACATTTGGAAGGAAAACACTAAACAAATTGAGTGGGTTCAAGAGGTGGGTCTCCTGCAAGCATTTTCTCACATCAGTGGTAAATTTTCCTTTGCTCTAGCAGCAGCAGCAGAATTACAACCATGAATAGCATTGTGAAAATGTTATTCTGAGTTTTAACAGGTATCTGTGTGCATGTTTGGATGTTGGATGTACATGCAAGTATATAGAGCCTGCTTTCTCATTACACATGTATTATGCAGACATAAATTAAATTTCATAATCAAATTATGTATTTCATGTGTATTTTTATATAATGTAGTACTCCATATGACTAAGCAGAATTTAATAACAAAAAATGAACTTTCAAAATGCAGTTTACTTATATCTTTTCATTTTTATTTGCACTGCAGCAGATCTGTAAACCTTTCCTGTAGACATGCAGTGATCATATCAAAAACCCTGCTTGAGGCTGGTTACATCAGCCAATTATACTGCTTTATTACTTCCTTTTTCTGTGAGACTGGGCACTGAAAACAAATCAATTAATTATACTCCTGTATTTCTGCAATAAAGAGCCTTTCAGGATGAAGATTAGATATGCCTTCTATGCTGAAATGTTATTTTAAATTACCCTTTTCAGTTAACTTCTCACTTCCAATGTGTGATGCATGGGGCACAGCTCCATTTGTTTGCTGTTCCTACCAGAGTTTGAAAACCCTGAAGAAAAGACAACCCACATTTTTAAAAAACACTTTTTAGAAATCTGTCACAGAAGAGAAATGCATTGGGTGGAAGGCGTTCAGTGGGTGCATATGAGAGGCAGCCTAAAGAGTGAAAAATGGAATATTAAAGCACAAGAGAGGATATAAAGTGTGGAAACACAGCAACACAGCTAAAGTCAAAAAGAAGGATGCCCTCAGGCTGGAGAGGGCTCTTCCAGGCAGAGCCAAGGTAGGCTGGGATGAACAAAACAAACCCAGTGCTGCTGCACAAGACGGGGCCAATGTGTGTCACTGCAACTTCAGGGAAGATTCTCACACTCCCACAAATATGGGAGCCAGAGCCCTTACAGGAGAAGTGCACAGAACCAGTGGGGGTGTTACTGCTGCTATTTGTGCTCAGGAGGAAAAGGTCCTTCAAGCTCATGACCAAAGTTATTCTGCCCCTTCTGCAGTGAAGTCAGACATATTCAAACCAATCTAATGTCATGGCAGATATTACCGTGGGATAATATTCAATATTTGATTTCACCATGATCAAAAAGAGATCAAAGTTACTATCAGTTACTGCTTTTGTTTGTACAAACAGGATCACTATCAAAAAGCAAAAAGTAAACATGTTTAATAAAAATGAGTGATGAGGCTGTCCCTGGTTGTCTAGAAAATGTAGCAAATTCCTTTTCAGGAGTAGCCGCCAGGTCAGACAATTGACATTATAGTCTGAATTATTCTGCACAGCCATAAAAATTTAGGCTGAGAACAATTTTGACTAATCCTTTGTAGAGATTCCATGGTAGTTGATGGAGAAACAAGAGGGGTTTTCATCATTATCTCCCATAGTTCCTGGAAAAGGCTCTAGTCATTTAGCCTGTCAATACCACAAGTACATGCAAATGTGTGAGACACATGCATATACAAATATTTGGGTACAATATAGACAACGGTGACTGAAAGTTAAACCTGCCTGTTCTTGGACCTGAGCTTTCAAAGACATCCAAAAGAAAACATGAATACTGTATCCTACAGAATTTCTCACCTGAAATTGGGAAGAGGCAGACTTACAAAATCTCAAATTCAATGTTTGCTACTAGAATGAGAATTGTTACATAGGTAAAAACATAAGTAATGACCTACAAAAAACAAGACTACTAGAATCAGGGTTTCACAGGATTCTCTGAGCAAAATTTCATATACTAAATTTGCTGGGAATTTATTTTTGGGCAACAATAATAATTTCATATTCAGTGGCAAAACTTGTCTAATGTTTGTATCAATCAATACTGCAGGTAATGAACTTTGGCTTCCATCTGTTCTGCTCCTCTTTAGAGGTTCTAATCAATGTATGACCGTAGATTTTATATAAACATTCCTATGTTAGCCAGATTACTGTGAAAATTCATCAAAAAATGTTACCTTGGAGTGCACAGCTGATAACAAAGCCTCTCCTAGTGAGAGTAAAACATCTTAGAAATCCAGTTCTGTTCATCTGAACACCATATTGTACCACCCTTGAATATATCTGTGCTAAAATTTGACTGTTCCCTTATAAAAAACCCAATCCAAACCAAAACACCTACAATCTGATATTTCTATGTATTAAACACTTTGATGTGTATACATAGTATACATAGAAGCAGGGCAGGCATTCTGAACACACAAAACCAACTAAGATTAAAGGGTTCTGTCAACTGAAAACCTCCAGGAACTTCTTCATTTTAGCCTGAAAGTGCCCATTGCTGCTCTTGCAAAGCAGCAGAATGAGCATAATACATGTCATAAATTAAACATCAGAGATATTCTTAATGTTCCATGAAGGCATTTATTCACACTGAAAAGTAACATTTAGGTATTATCTTTTATGCTGGTGAGGGAGTATTACTCATTCATCAGTTTTTTCCAGAGATTTGCTATGAATATTCAGCTCTTGATGACAATAGTGAGAATCAAGGTGCTCTGCAATCCTTGGACTCTGGTATGGCACCGTTGTCATGCAGAGGAACCAGAGAGAACAAGGCTGCAGGACCACACATGTCACTCATAACTCGTGTGATGGGATAGATCAAGCTCAACCTGCACAGAGTGGAAGAGGAAAAGTGTCTTTGGAAACAGAAATGTCAACCAAGTTTGAACGTTGAAATCTGTCAGAAGGGACATGACTACATATTCCTTTCTTCGATTCAAATTTCAGATGGCAGATGATGATGAGGGAAAGGAAACAAAATTGTCAGAACCTTCCAGAATGACAATAATGCTGAAGAAAATCTAGTTCTGTGAGGACAAAAGCTGTATAAGGGGTCTGCCATGACTGCTGTGAGGCTGGCAAAATACTTGGACGTATTTCAGTTATCACTGTTATTATTGCTACTTCAAATCTGTCAAGTTCTCTTGGTTCTCAGCAAATGAGGAAAAGGGCTGGGATATGGATGTAAAACAGACTCCATTCCTAACCATCCTAGAGATGGTGCTGAGGTCAGCGGTTCTGAACAGCACCATGTACTGTGTGACTCAATTCACACTTGCAGGAAGAGTCATTATACAAATTAAAATACATTAAAGCCTTTCCTACTACCCTGTCTGCAAAACAAACTTCATCTAGTCTTGGTGATTCTGGTTGGACAGATTCAGGGAAAAAGAGTGCTAAGAGACATATTGAAGAATCATAAAAATACTTTAAAATGTTGTATTTTTAAAAAGAGGTTTAGCGTAATGTAAGAGCTCCTGCCTTTCACCTCAGAGCATATCAGACCAAGTTTTTGCCTCTTTTGATAGTAAACTAAAATTTGAAAGACTTTCTGATAAGAAAATTTAAATATCAAAGTTAAATGGTTTCTGTGTAGGCTTTGGTCCAGTAAAATTGTGGAAAACTGCTTTTGTTAAGGACAGTCACTTAATGCTTGCATTTTTCATGTTAGTCTGCATGGAGTTGATGTCATGGTTGCTGAATAAGACAAGATATGGAAGTCATGAAAAATGTCATAAGCACAATAACTACCAAGACCATAAATAAATCCACAGCTGTGCCCAGCACTTGTGTTCAACTTCACAATCATAGACATATGTGCCACCATGATTTACATATTCATGCGCATCTTTGTTATCAGTGACAACTTTTTAAAACCAGATTTGCTCAAAGAGAGTCATAGCATGAATGTAGCTAACAAGTATTTCTGGCCACAGCACCAAGCAAAGGGATACACACTAGGAGGACAACGTGCTGCATCAGATGTCAAACTGATATGTAACACAGCAGTGGGAGACACCAGCACTGATCAAAACCATTTGTTCTTATGGGTTCCTTCCTACAGTTCACACTGTGAAGCAGAGTCATCCTGATCTCTCTAGGAGAGAGTACAGCTGGTCCTACTGCTGCACAGAATGTATTTACAGCATGGAATAAAGGAAGGAGATGACCCCTACAGTGTTAGCTCATCTTTAGCAGTGCAGAGTAAGGAAGCAATGTGTTTACTAAAACTATTTGTTAATTCTCTGGCTGAAATGTAACTGGGAGGAATGGGAAGAGAAAATGTAGACTCGGACACAAACAGAAGCTTTGGGCTATCCTTAATATCATCCTGGCTAAAATTTTTACTGTTGGATGATATTTCCTTGCTGAGGAGTTTCAGGGCCATGAAGTATTCTTTTTATTAATTTCTGTTCTTCACTCCTTTGTTGACAAGAGCCCTTTCCAGAGCTGTGGTTTGCACCATGCTAATTGTATGGTCAGTTGTCCTTGGCTGGTGGGCAGATAACATTGGCCTAACATTCTAACTGACAACAATTTCCTCCCCCTTCATTTGGAATAAATTCAACTCATTCTCCAGTATACATCCAGACCATGTAAGTGGTGCAGTTCTGTGATAAATGTCAAAGGCAAAACTATCAAGAACAGTTGGATAGTTGGTCCAACATTTAGACATGAGTGGTCTAGGATACCTGTGTTGACACTGTTACACAAATAGAGAAACATACAGCTAATTCTTAAATGCAACAGGATAATCTTAAAACTGGCTCATCAACCCCCTTTTTCTCAAAGAATTTCAGGGTTACCTTCAGTCCTGTCTGGTAGTTTCCCACTTTTGCTTGTTGTTCCAGTGTTGACAGTTTCAGACGAGGTGCTCAGTTTGGTGTTGGGGTCTCGCTTCGGTTTTGGAGGCGGCTGCTTTCGAGAGCTGCTGCTTTCATCATCAGTTCCTCCAACTGAATGAAGAGACTGGGATCTGACAGTGAAGCCACTGGAGCAGGGGTGTGGCAGTCTGTCCTGAGGAGCAGGCATTGTCATAAATCCCATGCGGAAATGTTTCCCCACGTAGCTGCCTTCATTTCCTCTTGCTACTTCTCCACCTATGCTGTAAGAGAAAATACAAATATAAGCAAAAGGTCCTTCTTTTCCTGAACCATATCTGGAACCAGGGTCTTAGTTCTGCCTGTGACAAGCAGACCATGTTTTTGAATTTGAAAACAAGAAGTGCTCTTCTCTGGAAAGAAAATGACTACTAGAAAAGTCTATTTTTCAGTACAAGCTGCCAACAACTGAGATATAGATACACTGCTAAGCCCTCAGAATTTTACAAAAAGAAATCAAGACAAGCTTTTGTCAGGTTTCATAGTATTCTAACTAGAAATTTTCTACAGAACAAATTTCAAACATTGAAAGTCAGAACTGAGTTTTCAGGAAAACAGGAGACTGTGAGTAGGGCAAAGAATAACACTTTAGAAATACAACAGGGGGTATTGATCCACACCCTCTGACACATCTTTGACTACAGATGCTCATGTAGCTTGGGAAACAAGACTCATGGCATCCAATCAATCTTTTCCCTTGAGACTAAAGAATGGTAGAGAAGAAATATTCTAAAAATTACTTGTCTGTAGGAAACTCAAAATCACATCAAATCCACATAAATCAGCAACACAAGCAGCTTCAGACTAGTAAATTACAAGTTTGGGAGCTGAAAAGGCCATGGACACCAGGTGGAACACCAGGAAGAAAATAACCTCCAGCCATTTAGAAACACAGGTAAAGAAGAAGGAAAGTTAAGTTGAAACAAGTGCTACCATACCAATCACTGCATTTTTCTGAGGGTGGTATGACTGAGAACTTGATATTATTCTTGTTCCACTCATGCTTATCAGTTCTGAAAAACAGCTCTTACTGGTGTTTATACTGCAAACCAATTTCACATTTCAATTCAGGCAAGTCAGTGACTATGCAAAGAAACTCAGCAACACACACAGGTCAATGTGGGCCTGTTTGCAAGGAGGTTTGAAATGGTACCACTGTGGGCACACAGAAATGTCAGCACAGGAACTGTGAAGCATCAGAGAGCTCTAATTAGCTCCTGTTTCCCCTTCACACAGAGTAGAGCTCTAATCTGGGTAAATCCTTCTCTGAAAGTTTCTTACTTGATCTTGCCTTGGTCTGGTGAAGTTTATTTGGTGCTGGTACACATTTCCTTTTATAAAAGAGAAGAACATTTCTCAGAAGTGTGAAGAGTAAGCAAGGCCACCTCATTTCCACCCCATCTTCACTGTAGGTGAAACACAAGCTGTATCTAATTATCCTAAAGGCATCAGACTGGCAATGAGCAAGTCTGCATATATACAGCTTAAATATATATATATAATATTTGTACCTGATATATATATATTATATTTGTACCTGATAAAGCAGAACCTTTGTTGCTTAGTATTCTCCCTGCATTTTTATCCCATTTCCTCTCCACTTTCAAAACTGGTTAACAACAGAATAGGTCTAACTGACCATGTGCCACTTTCCAGGGACACTGACACCTACCCACAAACGTAAATGTGTGCACACATGCCTGCCACACATATGCACACACTGGTCCATGCTCATAGCCAAGTTGTTACTAAATCCTAATTGGCATCAATTCTGAAGGGATTTGCAGCCAGAAAGATCAAGAGGTAGAACTCATTCATTTGAATATTCTAAAAAACCTGTAGTTAGTTCAAATGATTAACTATGCCTCCACTAATCTTTCATAAATTGTTCTGAAAATAATATAATCCTCTGACACTGGCCTACAGAAAGAGCCTGTCATATTATTTAAAGAAGATTACTATCCAAACATGATGAAGAATGCAGGTGGGGAGTCTGCTTCCTTTCTTAAATCTATTGGATAATCATGTTTAGCAAAGAAAATTTCAGTTTGCCATGTCTCCAATATTACAATTCTTAACAGTTTACATTATTTAATTACTACATTTACTTCACTGCTGTGAGAAGGTGTTTGAACCATCCACAAAAACCAGGTTCTTATGCCAAGCTGGGTGGACTTGCACAAATCCCTCTAAGGTGATATCTTTCACCCTTTTCCTAAGAATACACAGAACTGCATTTATATGAAGTGTGGGGGTGGTTTTTTGCCAAACTGCTGCATCTTGTATTTCAGAAATTAAAACTTACAAAATGTACTCCTGGTGTCTAAATGCATTGTATCATTAAATAATTAAATCAAATCCTTCCCCCCACCTTAATTTTTCTTTCTTTACTTAATTTCAACATAGATGAAACCCTCACCTGCTTCCTACACTTTCTCCAGAGCAAAGAGCCTAGAGCCAGGTGAGAAAGAGGTTGTGGGTACAGATGGGAGCAGAACTTGCTGCTGTGCAGCATCACAGCTGGAGTAGATCTGGTCTTGCTTTCCTACATCCTCTGCTCAGCTACCAGGGAAAACCAGCACAGCACCATTTTCCTGTTTTCAGCCACATTCAAAGGAGTATTCATTTGTATTTGAATGCAGGAGCCAACACTCAGCTGCTGGTGAAGCTCTGTAAGCCAAAAACTGAAGAAGACTGCCCTCCAATCTTTGGTCCTGGGCTGTGGTCATTACCCAGGATCACAATAGACTTAGGTTTGGTCCCTACACTGGTAGCAATTCCCAGGATAGGGCAGCTAGGTGTTTCCCAGCTGGCTCTGACCAGTTCACACCAGCACAACACACAGTGGGATGCCAAGTTCACACCTCAGCAATGCAGACCAAAATCTCCTGTGGGTAAAGAGAAAGGAGGAACTCCAGACTCACATCAAGAGCACAAAATCAAAAGCAGGATGTCAGGTTTCAAATGTAGCATCCCCTGCCCTCAGGTAGCTGCATCCTGAAGGTCCATTTAGACTTGTGCAATGCACAGTCTTGCTGTTGTTACATCATGAACCCAAACAGAATGAAAGGATTTATTTATACACTCCTCCTGCTCACAGCCACAGGAATTGGCTGGGGCTAGCATGTGTCCCACTTCAGCACAACAAGCTGACAAAGATTTACACATAACTTGCTGTGCAGCAGTGACTACAAAGACAGTGAGAGAGAAAGGAACTGTGTAGGTCTCACTCCATTATTTCTGACAGTTCTCTGTGCTCCTCATTGTACTGATAATGAGTTCTATCTAATTTCAAAACTGTATTATGTGAGTTGCTGCCAGTATTACATAGTTTATTAATATATATGGAAATGCAGACTTGGATTATTCTTCTGTGAAGTTTAAATTTGAACTTGGCCAGGATCAAATGCTTCTCTGACAAAGAATTATTTACATCATTAAATAACTGTAAAAAATGCAAGAGGTCAGAACTGGGCTAGCATCAAACCACAATGGCCTGGCTGATCCTGCAGCAGTGTCAGCCTGCTGGCACATAGGCTGTGGTCATGGCAGGGCTGCACACTTCACAGCTCACTTCTGGTGCTCTGCCTGCTCTTATCCACAGGGCAGATACTGGAGTACTGATGTAACTCGAGCAGAGAATAATGGAATAACATCTTTGAAGAACTACAGAGGAGAAAGTCTTTTATATTATTAATTTCACTACATATCACAAGAGTGAAAGTTACAGAGAAAGACTAAACATTAGAAATGAACACAGAAAGCAGTCTAAATGTAAACAGCATGGGAAAGGTCACGTCCACCTTGCTTTGCCATGAGTCATAATGTTCCTGCTGACTCTGAACATTTTTTCAATTTGTTAAGTTAGAAAACTATGGCAAATAAATTTTCATCACATTGATGAAAAATATATGGCAAACAAGAAGATCCAGAGGCTGTCTGCATCAATCAGTGTGGCATTTTTAGTTTGCATTGTTCCTATTTAATATTGCAAAGAACAATTTTAATTTGCTGTGCTGTTTCATTACTTGGTCCAGATAGAAACAGAATTAATTCCTGGAAAAAAAATTAATAGTTATATGAAAACTTTTATTTTACTTGGTGTCACTATTTAACTATAAACAAGATAGAATTAAATTATTAAATTCCTCAGTGCAGCTGTAAGGAGTAGAAATCTTGGACTGAGACCATAAAGTCAGAATACCCTGGAGATGGATTTTCTTCCTAGCTATCTATCAATCCTTGTTCTTGGTTTTCATGCAAAAATTCTCCTATCAGTTTAAATTTACACTGGATTATTTTCATCCCTCAGGCACTAAGAACCATTTCATAGTTCTCCTCATCTTTGCATGGTTTCCTTTTTTCTTCCTGTGCTGCTTTACATTGGATTTTCTGCTTTTTTGGCACAAGTTCAAAAAGGGAGCTACACCTGATTATGAGAGTTGACCTCCAAAGCAGGAAGAAGGGGGATTTGCTCTGCTGGGTATGTGTCATCTTTGAAGGTATTTTAATTTCTTTGCTGTGATGCATTCCAGTCAGGGACCACAGAAGGTCACCATCCTTCTAAGTGTTGGAATTCCAGGTAGCCAAGAAAAACCATTTCAAGAGCAGCTGCTTCTCCTCTTGTACTTGAAGAAGATTGATCACAGACACTGGTTCATTTGCTGGCAGAACCTGAGCTGGGAGTCTCTGCAGGCTCCTCTGTGGAATGGGGAGAGCTGGGAGTTCCAGGGCAAGTGAAGCACATGGATGGCCAGGCTCCTTCCCTGTGGGGAGCTGCAAGCCCACGCTGAGCTAATCCCCCCTGACATGCTTCTAATCCACCAGGGAAGCCATCTGAGTCAGAGACAGAAGTCGCTAAAAAATTAACTGATAACATAGGAAGAATTTTCTGCAGAAATGACTAATCATCAGCAAAACAAAAGGAATAAAAATACCTAACTCAAGGATCTTGTACAAGCTGGCTTGACTGTGCAAACAACAGTTTATCCCATGGTGTATTTATATTTTCTGGGTTAAGACAGTAGCTACTGCTGTTTTAACCATTTCCTTGCTCTTCCAGCAGAGAACATCCAGATGCCCTGCTCATATCAAATGTTCTGCATATGAAGGGCTGAAATGGCTTTGAAATGTCTATTCCCCATCAGAATAAATTATGCACACATATACTAAGGATGACACATTTTACTTTGTATCTGAGAAGCACTTTCAAGATTAGCATAAA